AGTACCACACAGACAAAAAAAAATTATGTGATGGGAGATGAGAACAAGGTGCAGACAGGGCATTGAGAGCCAAATAAGAGTTTTGCATAATGACATTTAGAACCGTACAGGTGATCTTATCTGACATTATTCAATCTCTTGTAGGAGAATATTGAAATCCAGATGTCCAGAGACTTGCCAGGGGTAAGTATTCACAGTTGGCACTTACTCCCTGACTTGTGGGGCATCTCTACCCACCCCCATGAATTCTGGGGAATTCTAATTCTTCTGAGGAAGTTTTAATCTCAGTTTTATGGATTAGGGATGGGATGGATGGGATGTAGAAAGACATAACAGACTCCCATACCATCACAGATAATTTCAGGGCTGTTGGAGATGCCAGATTTTCATCCTTCCAGGGCTCAGCATCCCTCATAGGGCTGACAGTTGGAGATGGACACCACAGTGGAGGAGTGTTTGCACACAGAGCCTGGACTAGGACCATGGCATCATCTAAGAGCTGTGGCCCAAGCAAGAGCCAGTAGGGGGCCAGCTGTCTGTGGAGCCTGCTTTCTCCTTCCGAGGTGCTCTAGCCCCTCCCCAGGAAGCCCTGGGTGTGCAGTGAGCATAGCTTCCTTTACTAATCACTCAGGAGTGATGATGGGACAGTGCTGGGAGGCATTTCTGCTTTCCCTTCACTGAGCTGGGAGAAGCAGCTGGTCACTAAATGAATGTCCTAGAAATCTGCTGCCTGCCCCCTCTGCAACTGGGGATGGCACCCACATGAAGAAGGAGAGCTCTCCTGTGTAGTCCCACCTTGGCCTCAGGGGCTGGTGGGAAGGGGAGGTCAAAGCTTCATGCTTCTTCACCCCTTAAGCATCCTCTTCCTCATTACCTCTTCTCAGCAGTTCTATCATGGAATTTTCTGGTTCCTTAGGAATTAATTGTCTTTCCTGTTTCCTTGCTCTAAGTCTCTCTTGCATTCCGCCCTTTCTTTCCCCTTGCCACCACCACTTTCTCTGCCTTTCTAGCCACCCTGAAAAACCAAGCCAAGTTAAGGAGTTAGGGGGCTTCTGCTCTGTTCATAATCTCAGCCTCATCTTTAAGAATTCCCAGAGTCCTGAGAGACCATAGACCAGGACTAGAGTCCACTTCCTGATCCTAGTAAGTGGCTCAATGTTCCTGAGTTGGCAGGCTGCACTGTCATCTCTGAGGTTGTCCATGGTTCCAACATGCAGGGCCACTGAGCTTTCTGAGGCAGGCAGAGCTCCTCACCTGATACCTTGTGACAACTTTCTGCTCTGCCTAGGAAGAAGACCAGCTCTGTGTGAGCCATGTTCAGTAAGAAGGTGGTTCTGGCGGCTTCAGGCAGAAGGAGTCATCAGGGGGAGATCTGAGAAAGGAAGGTGAAGGGTGTGTGTGTGTGTGTGTGTGTGTGTGTGTGTGTGTGTGTGTGTTGGAATGATGGGTGAGAGAACAGTGAGAACAGAGATGATGGATAATATCTGCCTAGAGACACCCAAGAACGCCCAGCAGTAGGTGGGGCGAGGCAGGAATGCGTGTGGAGAGCAGGAAGATCACCCCGAGGAAGGCCTGGCCCTTCTGCTCTGCTCACCTGCTTCTGCTCTGGCCTCCCAGGAAAGGGCTCTAGTCCTGGGATTGAAGTGAGAGTCTGGGAGTTGCTGAATACCTGGAGACTCATTTGGTGGAACTCTCGGCCTCTGTCTGCTCTGCTGGATGAGCTTCTTCTCAAGACACACCTGACACCTACAGGTGATTTGGTACATTCCTTTACTGTCACTCATTCAAATAAAATGAATGCTTAAATAAACTTTGAGTGTGCGAGACACAAGGCCCGGGATGGGAGAGGAAGAAGAAAGTAAAGATTTTTTCCCTCCTGCTACTAGTTCTGGGTCCAACATGTAATTGCAAATTGTATTAAACACAACAAAATGAAGAAGGAGAGCCCTCCTGTGTAGTCCCACCTAAATGAATAGACTGGTTGCCATGATGGAGCATATGGTGGGGAAAAGGGGTGCTCAGCTTGGGTAAGGCATATGGCAGGGTCTCTGTAGAGGTGACATTTACACTGCGATGTGCCCCAATGTTTTTATTGTGAGCTCCTTGAGGGCAGGGATGATGTCTTATTCATTTTTATATCTCCAGTGATGACAAGAATGCCTGGCACTTATTTTTTAAAAATTGGCATAATTTTTATAATACTCAATGAATGTTTGATGCATGAAGAAATTATCTCCTCTCTGCAATTGCTTTAAAGTGTGCTGCTTTTAATCACAGGAAGACAGGGATGGCAAACAAATTTGATATTCTTATGGCCAGCCTGTCTTTATTCCCTCCTTTCTTGTCTGCCCCTCATTGATTTTTGTTCATATCGCCATTGGATGCCTCAGATGTGTCGAGTCCAAACAGGAAAGAAAACACACACACACACACACACACACACACTCCCCGCATTACCAACCACATCCATCCCTGTGAATGTTGCAGATTCTCTCTGCGAAGCTATTAAGCACTTCCAAATAGAGCAAACCTCTCATTGACTATCACATGCCTCCTTAAATGATCTTCGAATTGCGTTTTCTTTTTTATTGCTTTGTGTAGTTTAACAGCACCAATTGCGATTACTCTAACTTATGATAAATCCCAGATCTATAAAGCTCCTGTTCATTCATTATTTTCCTTTTGCTCCTTTTCAAGCTATTTTTTTTTTTGGAATATAGTGAGGAGGGGGGAGTGGAGTGAGAAGAAAATAAAAAGATACCAAATTAACAGGGAAACAAGTGAAATAGGGGACCACTTGTCCCTGGGTGACAGACGCCCTATTAAGATACTGTTAGACAAAACAAATATGCTTTTGTACAGCACAAGCAGGTCTTTTGTATTTCTTCTGAATTGGAAGTATAATGATCACCACCTTATCTTTAATAGAAGAAGCAGCTAATTGTTCCAGTATCTTACTAATTCCAGCAACTGGAAGAAAAATAATTATTTTTTACTATTTTGCCAATTGTTCAATTTATACCAAGGTATGTTGTGTGGCATGAACAGAGATTTCTGTTTCTTGATTAATGTCATGACTACTATCCCAGATCAATTATTAATATGTGTGAATTATAATTATTTTTGGGTATTAGTATGAGATAATTATAAACCATAAAACAGCTCCCCATGCTTGTGGATGCCTTTTCTTATCTGAAGATGTGTTGGAGGTTGGGCACGTGAGCTTTAGAGAGAAACATGTATAATGTAGCACTGGGGGTAGCAAGGATGTCTGGAGTAGAGGAAGTCCTCCCTCTTCCTCACCTCCATGTTTTCCACCTCTCCAGAGACCAAGCTGACCCACCTACTGCGCCTCTCCTGCTCCACTCACACCCTCCTTTCACCCTGTCTCCGTTTTATTGGTTGAGACTTGTAACTCATCACATATGTTGGCTCAGCTTGCTCACCACCCCTCATCTCCATGGTCACCTAGAAGCTGGGGTCAGAACCCTGGAGCTTGGAGTTTCAAATCCAACCCAGCTTCTGACTTTTTGGCTTCCCTAATCCCTAGGAACCTTGGTGCTGCTTTTCTAGTGAGCACGACCAGCAAGAGAACATGTCTGTTCAGCACCACGGACAGGGGCACACTATCTATTCCTGCAAATGAGAAATCACAGCCTAGCACTCTTGTCAAGGTGGCAGTGTTGGGAGGGGTCCGTTAAGAAAGAAACGAAGAGAGAGAGAAAGTCAGTGAAAGAGATTGATGGGCAGGACATAGAATATTTAGACCCCATACTAACTGTGCTCAGCCATGGGACTCCCCTAACTGAGAAGCGGCTTCCAGAGCCTTCTTATATAGAGAGGGTGGCAAATGGGGGAGGTGAACGCTTCCTGGGCTTAACTGTGCTGACCTAATTCCTATCAGACTGTCACCATGATGGGTGCTTGTGGCAGAACCATAGCTGGTAAGTGCTCAGGTCTGGAGCACATGGGGTCGTTGGTGTTATAAATGGTGGGCTGGAAGCAGAGTCAGCTGAAAGTCACAGGAAGAGGGCACTAGAACTCTGCTGTGGTTGGCCTCTGGGGGACATAGGGGATGGAGGTGATCTTCCTCCTCCTTTCCTGGAGTGGGGATGAGGCTATAGAGGCTCTGAGCCTTGGGAGGAAGGGGCCCAGCTCGTGGCAAGTGGGGTTGATGGGAAGCCAAGGCTTCATTTGTCTGACTTTAATGAATAAATGGCATCCCTGGCCATTGTTTATCTACTTTTGAATCCTGACAAACAGTCTGTGGCATCTGATGAAGAGGGTTATTAGCTGCACGAAGACAGATGGCTGGGGATAGAGAGGATTGGTTCTTTATTACAGCAGGCCCATAAGTGACGGCACTTCTCTTCCATCCAAGCCTCTGCGTCAATGTTAATACTTTCTCCAAGTCTTCTGTGACTCAGGCAAGCCTCAGAGGAAAGACCGGGTACAAGAGGAAAGCAGAATGGCTTGTGAGTAGGAGGGAGAGGCAGGTCAATGGAGTTGGAAAAGGACAGATTTCCAAGTGCAAGCTCTTTGAGAATAAAACACTCACATAGCACTTACTATAGTCCAGGCACTGCCTTATTCTTTAGGATTCTCCTAAGTGCTCTGCAAGATGCTATTTATTCAATAGGCATTCAAGAAATGTGAATGATTGAAGAGAAGGACAGAGATGTTTAGATTAGAAAGATGAGAAAAGCAGATTTAAATGGCCGGGTAGGTGTGTGAGGGACAAAGCTAGGGAAGAGACAGGAAGAGAAGTAGAGGATTCAAAGGGAAGAGGGTTGATAGCAAAAAGAAAAGGCTATATGGGTCAGCATCCTGTGTCTCCGGCATTAGCTGCTCTTCCCCATGTTACTATGCAGACAGGTTCCTGATAATCCAGTGGAGCCACCCACTCTCTGAGATGTGTCAGGTTCCTCTGTATCATAGCCATCGGGCATAGTTCCTTCCCTCCATATCACCCCTGAGACGGTAAAGAGGTTCTCACTGACCTTCATTCATTCTCCGAAACTTGTCCTTGGCCATATAGCCCAGCACCAGACAGCATCCTCTCTTCTGGAGGCCCAGTTCTGGAAGAAAAGCATAGGTGGGTGAGTTGAGAATAAGTCTGATATCAGGGGAAGCCCCTCTGTAAGAGGCTGTGAAGTTTGTTGCTCTTATAAACAGGGTTTCTTATTTATTTAACAAACATTTATATAGCACTTACTATATTCCAGGCATAATTTCAAGTCAGTAGTTCTTATTCGTGTCTCACAACATCATGCAAGATCATTTCCCATTTGATATCATCCCCATTTATGAATATATTAAATAAGTAACCTTAGATGAATGAGCTAGCAGATGGCAGAGACAGAATTTTGAACCTACACCGTGTGGCTCTGGAATCCATGATCATAACCATTACTCTGGGCTATTGAGGACCTTTATTACCCAAGCTTAGGGAAAGTGACAAGATCACCTTGGGATTGTGGTCAGACCTGCCAGAGGAGAGGCAGGACTAGTTTCTGGTATCTTAGGTGAGAGTACAATCAGACACAGTGGGTACCCCAGGGTGAAGGTGATTGGGTGAGTTCAAGGGAAGATGTAGGGGTTGAGGTATAGGCAGAAGGACTCTCTATTTTTTGGAATGGGTGAGTTTCTGGGACTTCCCTATGTTGAGACACCAATTTAGCACTGTTGTCCAGCATTTAAGAAGTTGTAGACTAAGAGTTCAGGGGTTGGAGAGCTAAGAGACACAAGAACCCACAGAGCTTTGACCCAACTGGAAAAACAAGATGGAACAATAATTCCAGGTAACAAATGCAAGAGACATTTATTTATCTGTTTCACAGTATTTTGTAAATCAGTGCCTATTGTGTGGAGCATTAGAGTAGAGTACATCTGCCTCATGAGATGAGACGGCAAGCTTTCCTCTCTGGTATTTATCCTTTGATCCTGATTTGTCTTAAGCAAATCAGGGTTCTTAAGCAATTCCATACCCAATTTCCCATTTAATGCTCATAACAGCCCCTGGAGGTAAGCAGATGGGCTAATGCTATTCATGTGACACAGATGGGAAAATTGAGTTTCAACAACGTTAAATGACTACCCTTGATTACTTTAGACTCCTCATCTCCACCTCTTTGTGTACATATCATACAAATGTGACAGCTGCCATAAACTGGGAAAATGGGGAGTGCGATTTCTAGAAGAGGGAAAGTGACTACTGTTTCCCTGAGTTCTTGCCAGGATTCCCAGGCACCTAGCTGCTTCCTCCCTTCTAAGAGGACAGTGAGTGGGGTGTCATGCAAATTCTCCAGGAGACTCTGCATGTGTCTGAGCTCCAGCCAGTCCGTGCCTCGGCTGTTAGGGACAGACAGAGTGGACTCATTCCTCCTCCTGACTCTCCATCCACTTTCTGCTGTTCAGGTCCCCCCTCCAAGGTAGCAAGATAAAAGGGAGTGTAGGGCCCATGAGAGACAGATAAGTCAAGCTTGGGGGCTCCTGCCCTAGAGAAAAACAAAGCGTGGCAGGCGGTGGCAGAATGCCACGGCCCAGGGAGGTCGCCTGCTTTGATCTCCTGATTCTTTAAAGGGGTTTATTGACTATCAGTAAAGAGCAGAGAGGCAGATCTGAGGGTGCTGTTTCCAAAGGCACTCACTTCTCTTCCTTCCCCTGCACACTCGCTCGCTGATCTGAAGGCGCAGCCAAACCGCCCTCACTTCAAACAGCATCACATCTCAGGCACCCAAATTGACGATGTTAAGTTCTTCCATCCAAGGCCTTGGCCCTTTCTTCAGGGGCTCCTGCTCTGTCGAGGGCCGTGTGGATCAAAGCCCCTTTGATGTTTACTTACTCTATTTGTGGATTCTTTCTAACAACCACCTCCAAGAGGCAGGAATGCAGCATGCCAGGAGGGGGCCAGCGGAAATACAAGCTGTGAGGAGGCGCTGAGCTTCATCCAACAATAGCTTCTTGCTGGAGATGGTATTGAAACCTCAGCATGCTGAAGACAGGCATTAGAATTCTAGGCGTTGCCCATCATTGGAAGGATACAATTGCTGACGATTCCTATTATATTTGCCATTGACTTCTTATACCCATTTAAAGCAAATAGGAACCTTGGCGTGGTTGCTAATGAGAAAGAGAGTCTGAGATCCTGGACTGAGCCCAGGGGAGTTCTGAGGAAGGAGGGCAGAAGGTGCTGGATGGACTTGGCCAGTGTTCCAATTGATCTTCTGAATAGTCTCCTGAACTCACAGGAAAGTGGAAGGGGGAATAATCCTCCTAAAAACTTAAAGTCTAAGCAACTTGTTGTATTTGATTATCTATGTTGGCTGTCTCTCTCAGTCCAACTCAACTTTTCCTTTGTCACATGCTAGAATGTCCCCCCCAGGGTTATTGCCTAAGGAGATGTTTCATGTGCATAGTTATTATGAGCAAGAGTCTCCCTAACCATGTTTGATTTTTGTAAATGAGCAGGAAAAGAAGTTTTAAAAAAGCCCTGATTAATAAAAGAAATTGAGGACGAGGTAATTTCTCAATGTATTTGGCTCATTTAATTTGACACGTGTGGGTTAGTCTTAATTATTTAGGAGGCTACATTACATGGCGCTAATAAGCACACTGCAGATATTTATTAAGTGAGAGGGCTCTCTGATAGAGTCTTTGCTGAGAAGTGGGAAAAAACCACTGGAATCTCTGCAAGAACAAGCAGGTTGGAGGATTCGTCAAGCGAGAATTAGCTAGTTTTCTGTACAGGAAAATTTGAGATGCTCCTTGGAGAGGAATGTAGAGCTAAATTAGAGGTCACTGAGTCCACATGTGAGGCATGATGCAGTGACAGAAGGCTTGGAGGGGAGGAGAATCTGTAAATAAAAGTTGGGGAATTGGGCCATTGTTAAAGACAGATTGCAGAGAGAAGTGGGAAGGAACAGGAAGTAACCACTTTGACTTGGGGGCAATTCCACAAAGTCAATATAACTAGGGTATTGACTTTTGTAAATGAACAGAACTGAATAGAGAGATGAAAGAATATGGCAGAAAGAACAGGAATCTCTCACTTTGTGAGGTAGATCAGCCACCAGATGGTCACCTTCCTTGCCATATGGCACTGAGATGGTTGAGTCAGATCACAGATGCCCATTTTGGAACAGCAAGATGATGGGGTCTTCTCCAAGAAGGCTCTGGGCTGACATCTTTGGCTCAATCAGTAGCAGAACCACCCAGATACACTGAAGGCATTCATGGAAAGTGTTTTACATGAATGAAGTCCTAACTTAAAAGGGAAATTCATAGCAAAGAAGTTCAGGGTCATCTGCAAATAGGGTGTGGAGGGCAGTATTTGGGAGAACAAAGTTTAGGCAATATTGCCTATTCAAGGAAACAGTTATCAGGACAAGGTATGCTTTTTAGGGAGAAAGGAAGCTTGCACCCCTGGGAACTCTTGGCTTATAAATTGTGAGCAAAAGAAGGGTCAGGACTGTGCCTTTTTCAGCTCTCAGTCTCAGTATCCAGCTCAATGTTCCTTACATGGCAAATGTTTGGGGAAAATCTGCTGGCTTAAAGAAAGGGCTGACTAAAAATATCGAGGAGTGATCATTACTCCCCAGTCCAGGTCAGAATGAAAACAGGTGGGCTTAGATGTAGCACAATGCATTTAGGGAGGTGAGGATGGTTGTAGAGTGAATGAAACTTGTAATTCATTGGGACACAGAACAGTTCCGCAACCGGGGAACATTGTGGGATTTCCTCTTGGGAGGAATAAAAAGGGATGGCTTTATAAATGCAATGGGTTTCTTCAGTTTCAGAGGGTGTAGATAGGGCTTTTTCTAGCTATAGAATTCCTTTAATCTTAGTAATAATAATGATGCAGTGATACTACTTCACATTTGTGAGATACTTATTTTTTCACCATATTGTCACATTCACTGTCTCATTAGATGCTCTCAGCAGCTCTGTGAAGCAGTCTAGGCAGAAATTATTTCCTCCATTTTGGTTTTAGAAACCAAGACTCAGAGAAGTGAAATGACAATTCAAGCCCCAAACTCTAGCTCATCCCACAATTCAGGGCTGATTTCTGGCTTAATTCTTAGAGAAAGATGTGGGATCCTAGGGCTGCAGTTGTTACAAATCAAGACAGACATCAGTGGTCTGGGAAAGGGCAGTATTAAAGGTCAAATTGGACCCTCACATTCATGTGTTAAAATCCTAATACCAATACTTCGGAATGGGATCTCATTTGTAGATAGGGACTTGACAGAGCACCCATTGGCAGCCCAGGGTGTCTCTGGAATTCCTGCTTCCTGTGTGAGGACCATGCTGGCCAGCACAGTGCTTGCTTATCACCGCATCCAGAGGCTAATGAGCTGTCAAGTAACTGTGGCTAAGACAGGTGCCAGCCCCTGCTCCTTCCCCATGTCTGAAGCTGACCAGTGCATTGGGATGTCTGCTTGTAGGAAGACTTCCTATCCTGTCCCCCGATTGTCCACTCACAATAGTTCAGGTATTATGGTAATTTCACAGTTGTGGGCTATTTATTTATTTATTTTTTAGGAAGCCATCAAATTCACAATCTCATTCAGTTGCTGAAAACTGGTCTTTTCCACTTGGAGCTATTTGAGTTGAGCGTGTCTCTAGAGATCCACCAAACAAGAAATCGAATATTATGGGTGGGCAGTTTGGCGTGATTATGGCCGAGATTTGGGGAGGAAAGGAAAAGAGATGAAAGAGACATAGGCAGAGACCAGATCCTGGAGCAGCTGAGAGCCTCCTTAGAAGTCTGAACTTTCTCCTACAGGGGGTGGGAAGCCAAGAGGAAGGCTGAGCAGGGGATGGAGAGGCTAGCCTTGCACTGAATAAAGATCACGTTAGCACGAGTGCAGATGATAAAGGAGAGCAGCCCAAGGAGGGAGCCAGCTGGGAGACTATTGCCATACTCCAGGTGAAAGATGATGGCTTTCCAGCTGCTCCCCCTTCCTGCTCTCTGAAGACAGAGATCAGAAAGCAAGTGAAAGGACGCTGAGTTTTCTCAGGGGGACACTCAGAGCCTCCAGATCCCCGCCACCTCAACACAGAGAGCAGCAGAGGG